GCTAACCTCAATTAGACCGTTACAAAAATATTCACGAGAAAGTTATGAATAGAAATTATTTGCTAATTTTATCATTTTATCTTTCTTGATCTTTGAGTGTTGACACATTTATTTCAGTCAAAATATTTTATAATCAGTCAAAATCAAATAAAAGTTTTGTTTTTTTGAGGTCAAGGATTCAAGTCTCTCTCTCCCTCTCCTCCAAAAATAAAAAATAAAAAATCTCATTGGTCAAACCCCTCAATTCTGATAAAAAAATATGTGTAAATTTTAGTTTATAAAGGAAGTTTTAGTATTTTATCAAAAATATAGGAAATGTAGTCGGTTAACTAATTGAGTAATCTATAATATAAAATATGACATACTTTAATATATTCATTTGACAGTTTTAAATAGACACATTCAATGGTTATAAACATCTTTTTCAAAATCATTTACATTGTACCGTATCTTTAGGCACGGGTTACCCCTAGTCTATCTAATAAGTTAACTAGTAAAACTTAAAATTCTTATCCCATATATATTCTCTTCCCCCCCCCCCCGGGTTCCCAATTATCCATACACGATAGTGTACAAACGTTGAAAAAATTTTGTTGGGTTATGTATTTTGAAAAAATTTTGATGCTATTTTTAAAAAATAATAAGTAGAAATTAATTTTATATGATATAAGCAAATAGATTAATTTTAAATGTGGTATAGTGAGAACAATTTTTTGAATACTAGAATTTTATGTTTCGTCGTGTTTTTAAACACGAATTATGACTAATGATAGAATAAATTATGTTAGAGTTATATTAGAATGAGTAGACTAAAGGCAGTGACAAAATGATATGCCATCGATGTGCTGGTAATTTTAATCCCACTTTTATTCATTTAAAATTCAAATTTTGGTTATCATGTATACGGAAAAGGTCTGTCTTTTGTGCAATTTCTTGGTCGGGGATTAATGTATAATTTTATTAAAGTGTGAGGGGTAGAGATATAATTTAGGACAAAATTTACTTTTGATCCCTAAAACATGTGATTCTTGTCAATTTGATCCTCATTATATTACTTTTGTCACTTAATTCTTAAAATATTTAATTCGTGTTTAAATGGTCCTTATACAAACAGTCTATTACATTTTTTAAAAGAAGTGATTAACAGTTGTCAGTCACGTGATGCTTTCTAAAAGGATGATACATGATCATTTTCGTTAAAGAATTTAACAGACCGTCTGTCTGTGTAAGGAGTATTTAATTTAAAAGTGAATATTTTAGGGATTAATTTGACAAAAATAAAATCATAAAAACTAAATTGACAAAAAATCATATAATTTGGTGATGAAAATTGCACTTTTCCCCTATGAAGGCACTTGTTCATTTCTACATACAATAGAGTTATTTATCACTTTATGACAATTTTGAAATAAAATTATGAAAATATGATATTTTTAAACTTATTTATTCAATTACGATAATTTTAAAAAATTGGAGTTGTTGACTTTGTTTTTACTAGTAATGCAACACGTGCGTTGCATGTAAATAATTTTCATACATAAAAATTAATAAAATATATTAAGTATCTATGTAAGTGAATTAATATCATCTTAAATTTATCAAACTTAATTTTTCGCTGCTCATATTATATTATGACAACTTTGAATGTTTCTAAAATTCTTTTTTCTAACTATGAAAAAAAAGATAAAAAAAAAATTAAAGTTCTATTTTTTTTAGAATTTTGTGATTTAAATTGATTTTTTAGTGATATTTGAGAAATTAAATTTTTTAAAATTCATTTGATTAGAATTGCACTTATAATTTCTTGAACAAAATAAAAAATAATTGTTAAGATATTAATCACATTAGAACTTTGCTGTAATTAAGATTTAGTTAGGTCAATTGGGATAAGATTTAATATACTATTCTATAATATATATTATCAAGCATATTAAAATTTAAAAAAAATTAAGTTTTACTTAAAAATACATTACAATATCTTTTTTTAAATAAAACCTTAGTAAAACTTAGAAAGTTTATTGTGACTAAAAAATTATATTGATGTAACATAAATTAATTTTAAAAAATTATATATACGAATTTTTTTTTTAATCTTAGAAATGAAAGAGTTAAACTTTTCAATGAAAAAAATACACACATGTAGGCATAATATTATATTTACATATGAGATATGCAATATTAGATTGATGAAATTTTAGAAAGTTTTTGAACACTTTATTAAAAATATTATAATGTATCTTTTTTTTAAAATAATATAATCAATTATTTTTTTTTATAGAAAGTGATTAAATAATTGAAAGAGATGTTATAAATAATTTAAAAATACCTATAGATTATAGATGATAAAAACAGAGTTAATAAACCCGCTTTTAAAAATAAATTTATTGCACTTAAGACCCACTTTTAAAATACTGATACGATGAACAGGCTTTTCCCAATCCCACCAACTTCAATACGTAATCTGTCATTGGCGTTTCTGGGTAGAAGTCTTTAGCAATGCTGTCAGTCAATAATCACCCTTTTGCCAAATTTCATTTAGTTACCAAATTATCAAATTCGACCAGACAGTCCTGTATAAAATAATGCAATGGGTAGTAGGACCCTTCCATCGTCCTCAAGCAAACCCACCAGACAAAAGGTTAGATTTCTCTCTCTCTCTCTCTGAGTCCGTTTTAGTGTCTTTTACGCTTCTCCACCACCTTTTTGTAGTTGATTTGAGGCTATTTTTGTGAGGCACCAACATATTATTCTCCTACGATGTTTCTTCGAAATCAAGGTCTCTGACTGTGACATTTTATATTCTTAATCATGTCTATGTTCTCACTCAACACGTTGTTTCTCAACTCTCAAGCTTTCTCTTAAACTTTTACTGCAGGAAATTGTAGAAACTTCGTGTTTGTTGGAAGCCCTGTTTTTTTAATCACAAGAAATAGCATACCCACCATGATATGATTACTTGTTATTATTGTATTTTATTTGGGAATAAAAAAACAGTTTTTGGCACTCTCTGAGACTTGGGTTTTGTTCAAAACTGTTTCTAGTGTAATGGGTTTTTCATAATTTGTGAGAATATCTGGGTATGGAGAAATAAAATAAAACAATTCCCAAAATATTAATACATGTGTCTCTTTCCAATGAAAAGGTGATTTTAGAAAGTATGTGTTTGGCCAAAAAAAAAATGGTGGCTTGTTCTTCTATTGAAGTCAACTTCTTTCTAATGCATTATGGTTTTTCTCAGATCAATGAACCTTTCTCTGACTAAGCCGATGTCTAATTAACTTCGATGAAATGAGTGCCGATTAGATATGATTCTGATGATAGAATTTTGATGGTTAATACTTCGATATGTCACGTTGTCATGGTTGGCCTAATGGACGTGGTCTATGGTTGTGCATTCTGAGATTACATAGCAATTATAAATCTAAATAACGCATTGTTGGTACGGTTACAAAGCAAAAGAAAGTGGTTTTATGAAAGTGGTTTTCAGTTTCAACCTGGGAGTAGTAGTGGTTTTTTTTTTCAGGGAGTAGTAGTTGAATTCCCTTGTTTGTGACTGAAAGGTACAGTTTGGAAACGTGTTGAACGTTCCAGTTCAGTTTTTTAATCTTTCTTTGGCACTTTGCTTAGTTTGTGAGAGTCCATAGGGGGGGGGGGGGGGGTAGATCTTAGATGGAATTCAGGTATATAAAGAGGTCTCTGTCTCTAAACATTTATAGAAGCTGAGGTTCCTCCTAATCTCCACAGATCATTCTCAGCTGCATTGTTCTTTATTCTTTTGAAGTGACTGGAAGTCTGGAATAGACCTACAAGGTAATTTTGGTCTGAACTCTTATATGTAATAGAACTTTGTGTTTCGCTCAAGAATTTTATTTCTTGTATGCATTTAGAAGTTTGCTATCTCTTCTTTGATGTATTGTATTGTTCTTTGACTGCAAATAAATGTTTAAGTTTGCATTTATGAATCAACCCCTTTAGCTTTTGTGGTTTGTAACGTCTGAATTGAAGACCATAAGGCCAAAAAAACTCTGAAATAAATGGTTGTGAGACTTTGGAATCAACTAAAGTGTATTGTTTGTGCACGGATTTTGATCTCCTCCATTACACTTTCCTTCAATCTCCCTCCATGATTGATCACCTGCCATGAATTCACGTCGGACACCCACTTCATAAAAGGGAGTTCATACGAATACACCACGAATCATACTACCAAAGGGGGAAAGTAAAACAAAATTTATTATAGGAGATCTAGATCCATTCTTGCATCGATAATTTCTATGCATTTGTTTATGAGTCGCCATTTTTGGAATAAGCACTTGACTACATACTCTGCTTGGGCTGTTCTATCTTCATTACATTTTTTTGTTGGAATCATAAATTGAGCAATTATTTTGGTGCAAGAAAGACCCACCAGCAGTTTTGCACATTCATATCCTTCATCTTATGAATTTTTGGATCCTTCATTCAGGCTAGCATTTGTTTGCCAATGTTTTGTTTAAGTTTCCGATGAATGGTTTTCCAAATTATATGCGTTTGTTTTTTCATTCACGCTGTACCCTTCCAGGCCTCTTGCTTTAATGGATTCACAATCCATTGAGTTCAGTTCCTCACAGGAAACTTATGTGGCAAACCTGGTTACTGAGGTTCATATTTTGTATCATTTAGTGCTTGTTTACTATGATTGTAATACAACCCACATTTTAAGTTCTCTTGGGTAAATTGTGTGACTTTTTTTTATGGACTAATGTTGACAAGAAGGCCATGGAGAATTTTGATTCTTTAAGCATTTTTTTGTGGTAAGATTTCTTAGGATTCTGCAGTAAATTCCCAAATTTGTTTTTTTTCCTAGGAAGTTTGAATATATGACATATTCCATCTGGACAAGTGGATTCTAGTTTTTGTTAATTTCCTCAAATGATTTCACACTATATCTGGGAAAAAAAAAGATGAACTTTTGGAATAATCTTGTATTAGTCTTATGCCCTTCACATGTCTTCTTTCAGGATCTCAAATCAGGACAAAAAATGGTGAAAATCTGCTGCATTGGGGCTGGATATGTTGGTGGTCCAACTATGGCAGTTATTGCCCTCAAGTGTCCCTCTATTGAAGTAGCTGTTGTTGACATTTCTGTTTCTCGGATCACAGCCTGGAACAGTGACCAGCTCCCTATATACGAGCCAGGTCTCGATGAAGTGGTGAAGCAATGCAGAGGGAAGAACCTCTTCTTCAGCACTGATGTTGAAAAGCATGTCTTTGAAGCTGATATAATCTTTGTTTCTGTTAACACCCCGACGAAAACCCGAGGCCTTGGGGCTGGCAAAGCTGCAGACCTCACTTACTGGGAGAGTGCAGCCCGGATGATAGCTGATGTCTCTAAATCCAACAAGATTGTGGTTGAGAAATCGACAGTTCCAGTGAAAACAGCTGAGGCAATTGAAAAAATACTGACTCACAACAGCAAGGGCATCAACTATCAGATTCTGTCAAATCCAGAGTTTCTTGCCGAGGGGACTGCAATTCAGGATCTTTTTAACCCAGACCGGGTTCTTATTGGAGGGAGAGAAACCCCTGAAGGGCAAAAGGCAATCCAAGCATTGAAAAATGTTTATGCTCATTGGGTGCCTGAAGACAGAATCATTTGCACCAATCTCTGGTCCGCGGAGCTCTCAAAGCTGGCTGCCAATGCTTTCTTGGCTCAGAGAATATCATCCGTCAATGCCATGTCAGCTCTTTGCGAGGCAACTGGGGCTGATGTTGCACAAGTTTCTCATGCTGTTGGTAAGGATACCCGGATTGGGCCTAAGTTCCTCAACTCCAGTGTTGGTTTTGGTGGCTCTTGCTTTCAGAAGGACATTCTCAACTTGGTCTATATCTGTGAGTGCAATGGACTCGCTGAAGTTGCTAACTACTGGAAACAAGTCATCAAGGTGAATGACTACCAAAAGAGCCGGTTCGTGAACCGGGTTGTGTCCTCAATGTTCAACACAGTTTCTGGGAAGAAAATTGCCATTCTTGGGTTTGCATTCAAGAAAGACACTGGTGACACTAGGGAGACTCCAGCTATTGATGTGTGCAAAGGTCTGATGGGAGACAAGGCACAGTTGAGCATATATGACCCACAGGTCACTGAAGATCAGATTCAGAGGGATCTTTCGATGAACAAGTTCGATTGGGACCATCCGATTCACCTACAGCCAATGAGCCCCTCCTCAGTGAAACAAGTGAGTGTGGTTTGGGATGCTTATGAGGCAACAAAGGATGCTCATGGTCTTTGCATTCTGACCGAGTGGGACGAGTTCAAAACGCTTGATTACCAGAAGATCTACGATAATATGCAGAAGCCTGCATTTGTTTTTGATGGAAGGAACATTGTGAACATGAAGAAGCTCAGGGAGATTGGGTTCATTGTGTACTCAATTGGGAAGCCACTTGATCCCTGGCTAAAAGACATGCCTGCTGTGGCATAAAAAGCTCAGTGTTCCTTCTCATGGGGTCAATTATTTTCAAAAGATTTTCCTTTCATGCTCTCTACTTTTGTTTGCCAGTTAGGTTGGCCTAAGATTATGAATCTCTCTATTACAGTGTTTTTCATTGATCTTTTAATATGCTAATGTTGAAATAATTGAAATGGTTTACTCTTAATAGTTGGTTTTATCATCAGTTTCTGTGCTTTGTTTTTTTAATGTTGTATAGATTTTCTGTGTCAACATATGGAGAACATGAACACAACCCAATCATGTTGAACCTGCATCACACCTCCAACTACCCATATTCCATCCTTTTAGTCCTTGATAATGGGTTAGAGTTTTTTTTTCTCTTCAAATGCTTGCATATATGGTAAAATGTTATACGCAATCATGTGCAAGATTCTTCTACCTATAACAGGGTTGGAAAGAGGTAAATGATAAACAGTCTTATTATTATTTTAATAAGTTTATTCAATATTCAAATCCATGAGGGAACCCTACTGTTCCCGTGATGTTCTTTTTCTTCCTAAGAATTGAACAAAACAAGTTAAGCTTATTAGCGAGCTGATTGAAAGGATAACAGTGTTACAATCCTCTCAGGCTATAAATTCTCATTAAAACAGGCTATGAACTTGTTCGTTTGACTCCAAGGCTTTTGGGATCCATACTAAATTTTTGGATCTCATTGAATCGTAACTTTGTTGAGTTGTGTCAAGTTGATGCGGTAAATCTGTCCTTAAACCAAAATCAAATTGGAAACTCAGAGCTTGGCAGCTAGCATTTTATCTATCTGGGTCACCAGGATCTGGGTAAAAGTCACAAGTTTGAGGCTTTAACAGAGATGACATTCCAGCCACCAAATATCCAGGGCGAAATATACTGACAAATACTGTCAAAATCTCCTTCCGAGAATCATGGATAGTACTATGGTACTCAAAAAAAATATTTGGGTACTATACCTGTAAATGATTTTGGGCTTTTGATCTCCTTTTAATTTATCCGTAACCATTGATTATGAAAATAATAAATTAAAATAAAATAATAAAATAAACAATATGTATGTGTCAAGTTTTTATTGAAAGAAAAAAAGATATGATACCGAAAAGTTATTTTTCAGTATCATAGTCAATCCAAAAAATTATGGACAAAAACATACTCAAGGACATAAAATTCAATGAATCTATAACAATAAAACAGAGCATCCTTCTTAAGCTACTTAAGTTCCTCACCTAAAAAAACAAAACAGTGGCTCAAATTGTTTAAATTTGACGATTTATATTACAATTTAATATTTTAACCTTTTAACCAAGATAAGTTATTTAAATTTTAATTTTTTAACTACAATAACTTATTTAAATTTTAACCATAATAACTTAAATTTTATTTTTTTAACAAACATAACTCATTTAAATTTTACTTTGTAACGGAAGTAGCTCAACACATACATTAACAAAAAATGTGCTTTGCACGATGCTCTAATAAATCATAATGATATCGGGAGATTATCACCCCAATTACACTAATAGATCTGTTCAACAATATCGGATTGAAGTAGCCTAACAATTTTAGACACAACCGACAAACCTAATACAAAATTAACACAAAATTAATGTTTTGGGATTTAACTTTGGTGAATTCACGTGATAAACATATAAACTCATTAAATCCATCAAATGAATGAATTGACACAAAATTCGGTTAAACATGACACACACCTGCTAAACACGACTTTTACAAAAGACAAATCCAATGCAACAGGAGTCCAATTATACACCACTATAAATGGGTCGGCTGAGTAAAATTTCAACACAAGAAGCTAAGATGGTCCGTATATCTTGAAGTATACTTTGTCAAGAATTGTAACTCGTTCAAGAGAATCATTCATCTTCTTGGCTTCTCTCTTTTGCTGCTCCCTTTCATTGATCTTCCCCATTGCTCTTAACTTCTATTTGTTCTATTTTAGTCACTCGTTAATGTATCACATGAGTGTCTACACCCAAAATTTTAATTTCTAATGCATTCGAATATACATTGTAAAAACAAAATTCGACAGATATTCAGATCGGATTTAGATTGAAACAAATCCAACCCATCGACAGCTCGATTGGGAATTCATGTTAGCAACAATGAAACCAATCTCAAATCATTCACTAATATCAGAAGCCTTTACAATCAAAATCTAGTAATCAAAACAATGTACATAATATACATACATGAGTAAATCAGAATCCACTCGTCAAGTGTTTGATCTTAACTCAGCGTGCTAGCCTCTACTTCATCTTGTACAACGATAAGAATACCTGTCAATTCAAAAAATTTGTATTTACAGTTACATGTTACTCTTGATTAGTGTCTGTTTCTTTCCACCGGCAATATGCTGATCCATTCTAAGACGGACGCCCTTCTCCACGAGGCATTTTCTTTGATCCCGCTGCCACAAAATATGTGTTTTAGAAAAAGCTAATTACCCAAACATTTAAAACTTTACACGGTAGATATTTCCTGTAGTTAAATACATAGAGCTCCCGGCTTTGAAAATTAGAGTAAAAATAGATGTCTGTAATTTCGTATAGAACTTCACAAAATAAGGCCTTTTAACAGTAAAAGCATATGGCACAAAGTCGAGTTCATACCAAGCATGTGCATGCAGATAACATGATAATGTAGAATGTGTGTGCATAAGTTCTTCAACTGGATTGTCTAAAGTGAAGCCATAGTTTAAACTGTTCACACTTGTACTGTTCTTGCAATAGTTTAAATTGGCCAACCCTGTAATAATAATGCTTTTGAAGAACAAGCATAGGATTGTGGTAGGTGTCCCATTTCTGTCCCAAAATCACAGGCTTCAGTCAGTTCATCATTTCCAGGGGTACGATTTGCAATAATGAATCACATTTAGGTTAGTCTATATTCTGTGATCAAGTACACACACACACACATATATATTACAGAGAGAGAGAGAAAGAGATCATACGATCTTCAACATCCTTCAGCTCATAATAGTGAGGAGCAATTTCAACCAGCCACTCCGGTTTTAGTTCGGTAACCTGAGCAACATACAAAAGCACCAGCCAAGCAGGAACGTTGTATAAAATGAACATTAATGTATCTTTGAAACTTGAAAAATTAAAACAAAAACAAAAGGCCAAAAAAATTACCTGTCGCATATACTCCTTGGTTGTCAAGACCAACTCATGATACACAACCCATCTAGGAAGCACCTGTGAGAGAGAGAGAGAGAGAGAGAGAAGAAGAAGAAGAAATAAAAGAAATCAGCAACGTCATAAAAGGTCATAATACTAAGTTTTTTAACAAGTCATAATAATCAAATGCTTAACTCTATATACATGAACTTACGCATATAGCCATGCGAGACTAGAAAATGTGCATACATGCCAGTACACTCTAGAGACCAGAACGAAAACAGGTAAGACAATAAAGAACCACCTAAATTCAATGTTTTTACCAAAAGAGAGAAAAAAAGGTGATCAAAATGCTTAGTCCATGATTGTCTGATGACAACTTAGGAAGATAACTTTCGTTCTCGAGAAAAAAAACATACGCCTATGGGTCAATTTCGAGGTTACTATCTCATCTGTAGAACGTAGCTTGTGCACGCGCATGTGCAACTGAAATCATCTAACATCTACATGATTTGGAAAATTTCTGCTGTTTTATCTAACTTAATAGCATCAGATTAAGTAGATAAAACATATACTTGAATTATTCCAGTCACCAGCTTACACATGAAGTGTCCATTATATTTGAATGTCCCAAATTCTCGTCATACGTATCATAATTATTAAAAAAAACAAAAAAAGCACAACCATGGTGTACCTGTGCTAAACCTGAGCTGGGGTGAATATGAACAGTCTGTGGATGTTTGACAGTTCGGTAGGATCCGTTCTTCTGCAGCCTCGCAGAATGGGGGAAAAATCCTGAAAATTTTAAAAGAAACAACAAAAAATCAAATCCAACTATTTAGTCTTTCTAATTTATAATAAGGAAAGTTGAGGGGGTAGCAGAGGCTGGAGTGATCAGTTGTGTTATAACCTGATGTTATGGACTTCTTTACAGCTTCTAAATCATTGTCGTTAGATGTCAATTCAATTTCGACTCTCTCCAGCAGCCCCTCCAATTGATCTCTTATGTCTCTAGCACGCTTCATACTCCTGACCTGAAACACAAAAGATCAAAACTCAGAAAAACTCTTACTTATCTACCTACCTGTGAGCAAGGAATGCAGAAGAATAGCGGGTTCAAATATCAGAGTCAGGGTGATGACTCAGAATGTTTAAAACAAAGAATTCCCAGAGGGCATAACAATTTCAAAAGCATAACTGCTATAATCGCCTTCAGTGCATTCTCCTTTGCAAAACTTCAGCGCATGTCTTTAAATAATCAGACTAAAATTTTCAACTAAAACTCATACATCCTAAATCAATCCCAGCAAGCAAGTTCATTAATTGTTGACCGTCCAAGGGATCAGATCATTTAAAGTCCTTAAACAGCTATAGTAAATCTTACACTTGAAGTAATTGCAGTCTACGATAGCATATCTGCAGCATGATTACATTCAGAAAAAATTGGCACAGTTCAAGGTATAACTATTGAGAATCAAGTATTCTGCAACATCAAATTATACCTGGATGTAATTCTCATAGCACCACTGGGTTGAGAAATTGGTTTCCTTCCAGGAACTGTACACCTGACAGTAACCGTAAACCATAAGTTACCACACCTTTTCCAAACATGAGTGCTAGTAAGACAATCATTTTTTTTTTTGCAAATATTAGTTACCTACTGAAAAAAGTAAGACAAGCAAGGTTTCACTCAGTTTGCAAATGGTATTGTAAGTAACTAATTTGCAAGTTTTATTAATAAAACATATCTGTTTCCTATAAAAATATCTTTTAGTCCCTACCGAAACGTATCAGTAATTGAATTTCAAAATTTCTCTGTTTCTCAATATATTAAGATGTTTCAGGATGTTTCAAAAACACCTTGGAAACAAAATTCAAACATTTTACCCTGATTCTGTTATGTTTCCGAATGTTTCGGTTTCCAAGCTTTACCCAAATTATGCAACGAGACAAATTTTTTATCCTTTGTGAGGCTTAGTATTTACAAACTAATAACTAATAGGATACCAACCTTAAGCAATGCGACATGATCTCCAACATTACCCATGTGAAAATTCAACCGCGCATTGTCAGCATGGACCTGTTTGTCCTTTGGACGGTAAAAGATTGAATTTCCCACAGAAAGCATCGCAGCAATTGATATGATCTCATCAGAGCATTGATACTTCTCTGAAGCAACGATCATCTTAGACAGCATCGGATCAAGTGGGAACTCTGCCATTCTTCTGCCAACCTTTGTCAACTCACCAAGTCTATTAAGTGCACTTAAAGCAAAGAGCAATTCAAGAGCCTTCAGTAAGGCTTCAGCTGGTGGTGGGTCCATGAAATCGAAGTTCAACAAGTCATGTATCCCAAGACTCTTCAGCATAAGCACAACATTGGCAAGATTGGTCCGCTGTATCTCTGGGACAGTGTTATCATCCAAATCATTGTAATAGTTGTAGGCCGTATACAAACGAAAGCACTTTCCAGGACCTGTTCGTCCAGATCGACCAGCCCTTTGATTTGCAGATGCTTTCGAGATAGGAGTGACTAGCAATGACTCCATCCCAGTCCGAGGGTTATAAGATTTCATTTTGCAAAATCCCGGATCAATAACATACTTGATCCCATCAATTGTCAATGATGTCTCTGCTATATTTGTAGCAAGAACAACCTTACGTGCCCCTTCAGGAGTGGGCTCAAATATTTTTGCCTGCAGCTCTGTTGGTAGGTTTGCATAGATCGGACAAATAATCAGCTCTGCAATTTTTGTTCCCAGCCCCCTTGTCCTATGCTTAAGAATCTCTTCAGCTGTCTCAATCTCCTCCTGACCAGTGAAAAAAACCAATATATCACCATCACCAGGTGGTTGTGTCACATGGATTTGTAGAGCAGTGACAATTGCTGCATCTAAGTAATCAGCCTCTGGTGCTTTAGTGTAGTGTATTTCAACAGGAAACCGCCTGCCAGGTATTTTAAAAATTGGAGCAGAATCAAAATAATCACTAAACTTCTCAGCATCAAGAGTTGCACTTGAGATAAGCAACTTAAGATCAGGCCGAAAGCGAGAAATATCCTGTCATAAAGAAATAGTGGAGTCAGACAATGAAGTCGGAAAAAAAATGGAACAACTGGTACTGCTCTCACTCTCTCTCCCTATATGTACTCCCTATATATATATATATATATATACACACACACACACACACACATACACACAAGGGGTAACCTGTGCCTAAAGACACGGGAGTGAAGATCCCAAAGAGAGAGAGTGAGTGAAGATTGAGGAAAGGAAGGTAAAATTCAATATGAATAGTTTTGAAAAGGATGTTGGTGACCATTTGATGAATCTATTTGAGACCGCTGGATGGGTTTATTGAAGTCTACCCTATTTTATATATATATATCCTATCGATAAATCTGCACATTAAGTGCAAGAATGCCTTTAAATGGCATAATGACCCAAAGTTGTACCAAGGAATGCTTATAAATTTCTTCAACGAACCATCAAAAATTACAGAGCACATTGCAAGTGATTCTACTTGCCTTAACCAAACCAAACAAAATGTCGGTTGACAGGGTTCTTTCATGGGCCTCATCCACCATCACCACACTGAAACATTTTGCAGAAAAAAGTAAGTATTCAGTAACTCATCTGTATAACAATTGTATTACTAGTAAACAGTGCACACCTATAACTTGCAAGATCAGGTTCACCTAGGAATTCCCGCAATAACATTCCATCTGTCATATATTTCAGAATCGTCTTTTCTGAAGTACAGTCTTCAAAACGGATCGAATACCCAACCTGAAAGCAAACAAGGCAATTCTTAGAGTTACCTATATGGCAGTCAACGATTGGAACTGACAACAGTAAGTGTGACAAACTGACAACAAAACATAACATAATGCAATTTTCTAACAAGACTCGGCAGTTGAACAAGAAATCATGGAAAATCTGTATATTTGAAAATGTTGCAGGTTCAGAATGACACAATTCGATTTTGTTTTATTTAATCTGATAATGGAAATTTCAAAGATACCAGATCATCGTTACAACATGTGACCATATCTCTAGCAAGAATGCTCATTGCAGCATCACATACATGGACACATACTTCTAGTCCTCATTTCACATATCACAAAAGTCACATCTCACTTGAACCACAGATATGTGCCTATATAACAACTCAGCTTAAAAAATTTATTGAAGTGGCCAGTAGTAAAGCCACAGCAGAGTGGCTATCCAAAACAGAAAGTGCAAAGGGCATACCTCATGCCCCAGTTTGACCCCCATTTCTTGAGAAACTCGAGCTGAAACACTCATAGCAGCAACTCGCCGAGGCTGGGTACATCCAACCTGTGAGAAAGCAGGACAAGAACATAAAGCCGGGTCAGCAATGGATTTAAACTTAAGATAAAGCCACTAACTTTTAGAATTTTCAACAAAAAAAAATCAGTATGTAGGATTGTATCAGAATATCTTGCCTCATAACAGGAACACAAAATCTTTGGGATATTGGCAAGCAAAGTAACTGCTTCTAATTACCATAGAGAAATGAAATTTTGTTACTATTGAGTTATTATATGTTTGTCAACCATTTTATGGTTGTGAGACAGAATTTCAGTCAGTGACTTAATAATCTTGGACAACTATTCAATATCCAAAGAATAATTTAAAAAGCAAGAAGATCCTACTTGGGTAGGCTTGACAGTTCTTTGATATTTATATACTGATGCTAGCATGCAGCCATGAAAGGCTGTCACTGAGATAAAAATGTTTAGCTTCCAACTTAGTCCCCCCCCCCCAACCCAACCCACCCAAAAACAAACACACACCCCACAAAAAAAAATCCTTTTGCCATTGGTTTTTCCATTTCCATCAGTCAGACAAACAACAAAAAACTTCGCCTTACCAGTGTCAAATGGTGAAGATATTGGCCAACAATGTATGACATGTCTTCTCAACAAAACTCACATAGGAAATATGGAAAAAGAGGGTAGATTGACTTAGACATATAATGACCCTCGAGTAATTAGTTAACCACATCTGCACAAAGCTTTGGTTTTGAAAAGGGTAAAAAGAAGGAAAAGGCAAAAAAGGAAAACCTAGTGGCTACAACTTGAAATGTTAGTACTTAGACAACTAATGAGTAGATTTTCTATTATTGTTATTGTTGTTGTTGTAGGTGCTATTATCATAGTGGTAAGCCATAAACAAGATGGAAGGTAAAACAAATAGACAGGAAGCTACAAAAATAATCCAAACCACCCAAAAACACGGCTAATTTCCATCCCTCTCCACAACAACTACAACACCTTATAAGAAGGTCTAAGCCAGGGGGGAAAAAGCCTAAAACTTAGTATGCAATGAGGGGTAACTTCAGGATGCTAAAAAAGACTGCAAGACTATTCATCTTCTCTGCAGGTGGAGGTAGCACTTCATGTCCCCAATATGTTTCTCATGGGCAGCTTCTTTTTTTTTTTTTTTTCTGATAAGAAACGATAATATTATTAATATAAAACCTATCAACGTAAACAGTACCACCTCAACGTAATGCTATAAAGAGGGACATGCTCAACCTCCTTACACACCGAGGCCCAAAAGGAAGCCAATCCCATAGTCTTTCAACCTCCTTAGTTTGATCCTCAAAAATCCTTACATTCCTTTCCAACCAAACAACCCAAATGGTAGCACAAAAAGCACAGCCCAAAAGAATCCTCCATCTCGTATTGCTCCCCCCAACCATAACATCCAAGAAAAACATAGATAACATAGTACTCAGCACCACCCAACTAACTCCCCACATGGTAAAACAACTTGTTCCATAGTGACAGCGCAATGGAACAATGTAAAAATAAGAAATTCACATTCTCACTATCACTATCACCTTTGCACATAACACACTATTGTGGTAGACAACAAGTCTTGGGCCGTCTTCTTTGAAGTACACATCATAAGTGTCCGTCTTACCATGAGTAATTACCCATTCACAAATTTGCACCTCTAAAGGCACTCTACCTTCTCAAATCACCTTTGTAGAAAAAAACAAAGGAAGAGTAAGAACATCAATTAAACACTCAAAGGAGCATTTACATGAAGAAACACCAATAGAATAAATAGTCCAACATCTTCTATCCAAATTATGTTGGGTCAAAGAGACATTATTAAGCAAAGAAAGAAGCTCCACCAACTCCATACACTCTCTATCATTAAAGTTTCTACGAAACCCAAAATCCCATGACAAATGATATAAATAGGAACTAACAAAGGAATCATTCTCTGGACCTTGAAATCTTGAAACTCAATAAAGCCAGAGGAAAAGACTATGGAATGAATAATTCTCTAGCCATATATCGTCGTACAAACGAACCCTTGTCCCATCCCAATAATGAACTTCGATTTCTGAGAAAAGAGAGGCAACCCCTTAGAAATAAACTTCTATGGACTTCAAAAACTATCTCTTTCGTCCACATTAGCATTTCACCCATTAACTTGTACCCCATACATGCTCCCAAGGGAATCTCCAAAGTCATTTAGCAATCAAAGTCTCTTTCCTTTCTTACAAATTCCCAACCGAAAGACCACCATTAACTTTAGATCTAGACACCACCTCCCAGGAAATAAAATGGTCCTTCCTACCTCCCTTTTTCCTTCCCATTAGAAATTCCTCATTATACCTTCAATTTTCCATGCAGCTGACACAATAACTTAAAGAGAGACATAAATAAATAGTAATAATAAGCTAAAATAGATTGGACTAAAGCTAACCTACCACGCCTAGATGTAAAGGCTTTCTTCCAGCCATCTAGCCATTTGCCCACTTTCTCAATGATTGGATCCCAAAAAGATGTAGACAATGGATTACCCTCTAATGAGAGTCCTAAATACTTCAAAGTCCAATCACTCATAGAGCAACCCACCTCAGATGGCAATCTATTAACTTTTTCCTAGCAAGTGTTAATACCTATAACCAGTGTTATCAAAACCAGACCGAACATCAAACCGACAGAGGAATCATGTTAGTATTTCACTAGTTCAATCGTTAGGTCAATTGGTCAGAACGGTTGTGAACTCAAAAATTATAAAATTATAAAAAATAATAACTTAGCTAAAAAAATATAAAATATATTCATAATACATAAAATTAACACCATTAGCACATAATTCTATCAAACAAAAAAAAAGTTAAGTAATAAAAAGGGTAACAAAAATTAAAGACATTAGAAAATTATTTTCATTATATACAAATTGTAAGAACTAGGAAGAGACAATACAATGGTCTCTGCCTTTTTTCCTTCTCGAGATAAATAAATGATAGAAAGCACATGAATCAAAGCTACTGTTCATGTTCCAAAAAAAAAAAAGGAAAGGCTGTTTATTCAATAGCCAGTGATAGTGTGTGTATGAAAGAGAGAGAGACAGAGAGATAGAGAGAAAAGGCAGACATAAGATCATGAGACTACTCACAAAAAGCGATTGAAGCAGGGAGATGGAAGGAGAGTCGACTGAGCTTTTAGCAAAGTTGACAAGGCCGCCTGAGCTTCGAGCAGAGTGGTTATCGCCTAACCTGCTATTCATCGCCTGACGCCTAATATGGTTCCAACCGTCCGATTTACAAACTCGTCCGGTTCACGGTTCAACTAGTTCGACCAGCAAGTCCTATTCGATTCTAATAACACTACCCACAACAATACTCTTTTTCGCATTAACCTTAAGATCTGAGTTAATCCCAAAGACATCCACAATCTTCTATATATTTTTGAATTTCAATTCATCCACTGAAGACGAAAAAATGGTATCATCAATAAATTACAAGTGAGAGACCACAACTCTCTCTCCCCCAGTCACACAAAGTCCTCAATTAAATTACACCTCTCCGCCCTTTTCATGAGTCTACTCAATCCATCTAATAGTAATGTAAACAAAAATGGGAATAAAGGATCCCCTTGTCTCAATACCTTAAAAGCCCTAGATTTACCGCTCAGTTTTCCATTTAGAATAACAAACAAATTCGTAGTCTCCAAGCAACCTCTCATTCATTTCCTCCACCTTTCTCCGAACCTTTTTTTCTCCAGAACAAAATCAAGAAAATTTTAATTCACATGATCATAAACTTTCTCGAAATTAATTTTTAACACGATTTCCTCCTCCCCTCTCACTCTATAGTCATCAACAATCTCATTAGCAACTAGAGTTACATCTAAAATTTGTCTACCACTCACAAATCCCCTTGGAGAAGGCTATATAGTCTTGCTTAAACACTGCCTAATTCTTGTAAGAAGGACCTTAGCAATAATCTTATACAAACTAGTAACTAGGCATATAGGTCTAAAATCCTTCAATTTCAAGGAATTTACCTTTTTGGGATAAGAAAAATGAATGTGACATTTGTAAATCCATTCATCACCCAATTATGAAAAAAAAAATTCAAACACCCTCGTCAAATCATTTTTCACCTCTTCCTTACAAACTTGCCAAATGGTCATAGTAAAACCATGTGGAGCCAGAGCTTTTTGTCCTTACTACACTCAAAGAAAACTCTTTTAACTTTCTCAACCTTAAAAAAGTCTCTCAATCCATAAGGCATCATTCCCATCAATAGGGCACCATTCCAACCCCATCAAATTAGGTTTAGAACACTCATGGGCAAAATGAAGATTAGCGAAAAAATAACCAATCTACCTCATTAAAGTCTCATCATCCATAATCCAACCATTATCAATTTCCCAACTTATCATTCCCATCAATAGGGCACCATTCCAACCCCATCAAATTAGGTTTAGAACACTCATGGGCAGAATGAAGATTAGCAAAAAAATAACCAATCTACCTCATTAAAGTCTCATCATCCATAATCCAACCATTATCAATTTCCCAACTTATCAATGACTTCCATCACCCTTTTACCATTAACTGCCCTGTGAAAGGACTTTAAATTATTATCATCTTCTATCAACCATTTCACCCTTGACTTTTGTCTCAACCTGTCAACCTAAGTTCACCACCTCCTCAACCATATTCCCAAGATCCCTAATCTCCTTTCTTAAAACTTCATTCATTCCCCCTTCTTCTTCTATCCTATCAATGTCACTAATCCTATTATTAATGATCCTCTTAGTTTGGCGAACATCCCCCACACACCCCTTCATTCCACACCTTCAATTTATGCTGAACAAACTCAAGCTTCTTCATGAATTTATAACCCTCCCAACCATGAAATTCACCTTCGAACCACTATTCCATAGTCTTCCTTCTAAAATTAATATGATCCACCAACATATCTTAAACCTAAACCGACAAGGACCCCACCTAAACTTAGAATCATGTAGAGCAATAGGACAAAAATCAAAAGTAACTCTAAGCAAAACCACTAGTCTAAATCCCATAAAGCAACCTCCCACCCAATAGAAAACAAGATATCCAATCGTTTACACAGCACCCTACTCTTGAAATTTGACCACGTAAAAGCACCATTAGCTAAAGGAAGGTCCCTAAGTTCAGTTTCCCTAATAAATATATCAACATCCCTCATACTCAACAACCCCAGTAACTCTTCCTACAAAAATGCTCTAAACACAGGTTTATTTGGACTATACACTCTTATGAGCCACCAATCAAAACCATCCATGTGTCTTACTCTCCGTAATATAATATATTCCAGTGTAACTAGATTCGCTCAAATAGGAAACGACCTCCGATCTAGGTCGAACAACCCCAATGGGGGTACATTCGCGTTTGATGTCAACAAAAACATCGATCCCAAATTTTGAACCGTAGAAAAGGATGAAGCACATACTTGAATCACACTCTTCACTAAAGATTACATAATTTTGTAGTTTCATTTGTTGATTTTCTTTTGTATCTTCATCGTCAGAGATTTGTAATCTTCGCCATAACCTTGTCGATTTTCCACCTTCAACCCATGTTCAATTTGCAAGTGAACCACTATCTCTCTTGATTTTGATCTGCTTTGGCTTGACCTAATTTAGGATAAAGATTGAAATAAAGAAACAGAGAGACGACAAGAATAATAACAATAATCATTTCTCAATTTCTCTATGAAGCTCGAAGCTGCTAGTTTAGGGTTTCAGATGACATCTCTATGAGGCTTTCTCTTTTAATGTAATATGGGCCAAAGAAAAAACCAAATCAAAGGAAAAAAAAGACGCTACAATATAAAAAGGAAACATTTTTCATTTGGTATGACATTGGTATGTGGTGTTGTAGGAATAGGCTTAGTTGGTATGACATTTGGGATCATGGTTCGTTTTAGTAGTCTTATTGGGGTCGCTCTCACTATTAAAAGTTTTTTTTACATTATTATACAAGTATACACAATTATTAAGAAAAAATAAACCACGACAACAAATTGTATATTTAAAATTACAATTTAAATTATAATTGTGGGCCAGTAGATATCTAGTCTGCTTTAAAGTATTTGGGCCAGACACTTTTGGCCTTTAGTTTCTGTTTTGTTTGACTATGTTACATACCAATGTAACACCAACTACGCGTTCCACATACCAAATCGATCCGCAATCTAGACAACATTGATATATTCTCCCTCAATTGAATCTTCTACATTAACTAACCTTTCCTCCCAAATAATGACAATCTCACCCGACCACCCCTAGACAGTAAAAACACCTTATTCTTGAAACCTCAACCCGCAAATGCTCTTAATAAGCCTTATATCTATCACTTCTAATTTAGTTTCTTGCAAAATAAAAATATCATGCCCAACTCTGATAAAAAAAAACTTTAATTTCACTCATCTTCTTCCACGATCATAATCCTCTTTCATTTCAACTAACAATCTTGACAACAGACTAAAGCTCCCTCCCCCCATACCTCTCCTAGGATTCCATCCTCATAATTGATCCCAAAATATAAATTCTTCAGTTCTCTATTTCTTATTCTTCCTTACACTCCTTTATTTCTAAATATCTTTTTTACCGGAACTAATGACATCCATTTTTTCCAAAAAATTCTTCAATATTACCCATTTTTCATCATCTAACACAAAATAATCATTGACATCTCTATTATCCCTTCCCAACCCTAGACTATCACCCCCTTCTACATTTCACAAATAACCTTAGTTGTTAGAGCTTCTAAATTCCCCATAACACAATCAACAGCGGATATCCCATTACCCATCCAAGTTCAAATTACAACAACCAACAAATAAAACAACTAATGGACCAAAATTTGGGGCATCCAAGAAAATCCTTGAAGCCAATTTGCTCAAGGTTAACTCTCTCCTTCCTCATAGATTCAAAGTCACTAGAGAAACCAGGACCTAAGAGCTACTCTCATCACCTTCATCATCCCCCTCCTAGATATGGACATCATTCTCTCTGGAAAACCCTCCCCAATACCACACATTCTCAATCCATAATGCTTTCTTCCCCCTCCCCCCCGGGAAAAAAAAAAGAAACAAAACAAGGACAAAGGCCCCACTCAGAGTGGGCCATTCCCGAATATGAAAAAGGGACATGACTCACCTTATGATATGCTTCAAAGAAATTCCTAGACCTGTCCTCACTTTTGAATAATCTCGTACCATCCCCCAAAATCTCGTTTGAATTATCCACATCCCAGATCCACCATAAGAATGAGTCCTTGGAACTGCACAATCCCTTGTCACTTTCTTCAACCTCAATATCATCACCTTACACAGCACAAAGACCATCCTCCACCTCCAACACCATTCACCTTTGTTCATCCGTTTTCATCATAGTATTCTCATCCTCAAACTCTTCTCTAAAAATTGCATGCTCATTACTCCCATCATTAACATTAAAATCCATTTTCAATCAACGTCGACCCCCAACCCATGACTTGCTTTCGAATTGGAGCAATCACTAGAAGACCTTATGCATACTTCAACGTCGTCATCGCACCTTTTACCTTTGGTTCCAAATCAAACACGAAGAATAGCCCTAGAAAGAATTGTCTAAGGCTTACTAGAAATGTGGGCCATTATTTAGATGGGCCACATCCAATCCATGAGAGGGCATCACATTTTTAATTCTAAAAGGGCCTATCCTACGAAGCCCATCAAAAACCTTAATTGGGTTAAGACAACAAAATTTCCAAGCCCAACCTTACTCTTTGACACTGGGCTTCATCTGAATAATAAAGGCCCACACACTGAGATTGAGAGCTCATATTCATAATACTCTTAACCGCCTGCCCCATTTTCCCACTAAAGGGCATTTTTAAAATTCAAATTTCCAACTAATCCTCTATTACCTTGGTAATTAGCATAATTAAGACCATTAATTGCCTTATTTAATCCTTTTCACTAGTGCCCCTTTCTATTGATATTCTTACCCTTGTATGCACCCAACTGTAATGAATCCTTCCCTCTTCTTTTGCAGCTTTAGGTGCTAAGGGAGACTACAAAATAACACATCCCTTCTGCAGCTTGAGGAAGCTCTTAATGTACCCAATGATGTGATATACAGCCCATAAAGTTTAATTCTGGATAGTGGGACAGCTTTAGACTGAAATTGAGAATCACCACTACAACAAATGATAATACCTGTTACAGGGGGGTACAAGCTGCAAAACGAGCCAATCTGGCCTCTATTGTGATGAGATAAATTGAAAAAACAAGAAGCCAAGACGAACACAACCATGCCAAGCGTCCTAACTCCTAAGTTATGAGAAATACCTGGCCATACAATCACTGGCTAAATATGAGATCAAGCTGCGACTAGCCATTTAGGGAACAAATGCTCTGAGGATGCTTGATGATCCAAGAGATTATTTCCTACCTTAGGCACTGTCTCACAAGGAGGAGGCAGGAAATACAAATTTGAAATAGTACCTTCATAAATAGACTTAACACTAAGACCTTTTTTTTTGGTTTTTTTGTTTTTTTGTTTTTTTTTTTTTTTTTTTGGGGGGGGGGGGGAGGTACGCTCAGACAGTTGCTTTCCTTGAAAACCTCTTTTTAGGTGTTGTAACAGCTTTGTCCTCACCGGAGGAGAAACTTCTCCTTTTATTTCACCAAAATACCCTAAAAAAACAACAATACTTCTGAATTGTTTTTTAAAAAAAAAAGTCAATGGAGAAACCCATAAAAACAGTTGTGCACCGTAAAAGAAAGATAACTGGCAGTTGGTATGGCAAGAAACATATTTTTATATCCCCAATAGAAAACATTTGGCTTTAATCCCAAACACCTGCAAGTAATACAAATAACAATGGTGGACTAAAAGACACACAGTCCAACTAAAGGACCAAAATAAAAAACATAAATGACTTCCGTACACCTAATCCATTAAATGGGAACCAAGAAATATTGTGTTTGGACCCTTTCACATTGGTGTGTAGCTTATAGAGGACCCACTTGCTAATGTTATTCGCTCACTTTTCACTCTTTCAAGTCACAGGTAAAGTAATGATGATCTATTCTACCTCAATGTTCAATAAACCTCCTCATCAACTTCCAAAGGTCTGTATTGCTACTGCATGCTCTCTTAATCAAAGGTCTGCATATTGTAAATCCGGATCCAATGGGTGGTCACTTACTCCAGCCCTATCTTCTACTTTCTACTCAAATTAAGGTCTTTCAGGACAATATCAGCACCTATATTATGGAGCATTTGTGTGATGGAGCACGAAACATGTAGGAGGATAATTTGCCATATAAAATAATGACAACAATATCTTTTCAAAAGAATGATTACAAAATTCAACAGAACTCAACAGCAGTTGTAGTGCTTCAGAATTTTTGCCCCCAGTTTATCGTATCTTCAGTTCAGACCCACCTATAAATCCTCCCTATCCATCCAATTCAGCACCTTGGGATTTCTGAGAAGATCATGAAAATCCCTCTACTAGAATGTTCTTATAGATTCCAAAAGTTCCGTAATGGACCAAGACAAGATAGTCGGGAATGCAGGCCTTACTCACCCTAGAGCTTGTAATCTCCTATAGGCAGGGTATCAAGGAGGATTCCAGATAATGACCCTAGACAAGGGGGAGCTACTGTGAATGGCTGACCAGGAAAGCGGAGGTCCGGATTCCAGGAGAAAGCTGTATGCTGCAAGAGTCTACACTCCTGAACTCAAGAAGCAAGACTATCCTCTTGCATAGGTAACCACTTCAGCATTTCCCTCGATTGCCTACATTCTTGCTGAACTCAGGGACCGAGGCCATCCTATTCACGAAATACCTTATTGTGCACTCCTATCATGCTTCCTGATCAAGCCACTTGTCCACTCAAATGCCTTCTTCATGTGCATATAGCAAATAGGGGCCACTAACTGGCTGCCTCTCTAGTCATGAAAGTCATCTGTGGCACCATGCTCTCCCAACTGATATCAGCTTGGACACAAATACTAAACCAATAAAAATCGTCACAGAGGAAAGTTCAGGTTGCTGAGCAATGACTGGGAAGCTGTTTCCTAGACTTCCACCATATTCTCATACAAAGCTTTAACAAAGGAGAATGGTTTTGAAAATGCATCAATCATTTTTCAGCAAGCTTTCCCACCTTTTGTTCAAGCCACAGGAAATTATCTTTTCTCAGGCAACATGCAAATTATCTTTTGTCATCTGAACAGTTGGTGGAGACAATTCTGGAAGTCAGAAAATTGATTGCTAGAGTATATCTCTTCTTTGGCAAACACAAGTATGCAATGCTTAAGAAAGAGAATGAGAGACAACTACAAGCGGATTACCAAACATCTTCCTGACTCCTCTATTGGCATACCATAGATTGCGAAATGCCAAATAAGATGCTGAACCTCCTTAATTACTGGAACATTGGTTTTTTTCCTTCTTTTTCCCCCTCCCGAGGTTAACTTATGAAATTGTAGTCAAAGCTCCAAACAGCTATTTCCGGATGTTTTGAATAATTAAAGGCTTCCACCATGCAGAAACCTCAAGTAGACAAGTCAACTGCACTATTCTTAAAGTGGCAGCTCTTACTTCTGATTTTAGCCTTTCTTTTAAACCTATTCATCAAGTTGAGCTCCAACACACTTTGATAGTTAGAGACTAAGAACTAAGGCTAGTTTTATGCTTAACACATTCAAACCGTATAACTACCACTCATAAGGACAGTGAGGTTTTGATTCCTATTATTAGCTTTTAGTGATCCAGTAGCTGGAAAGCTAACAGCAGTCTCAACTAGAGCAGTTAGAACTCTTAGCCAAGCATGCGTCACAACGAATACCAACAAGTGGAGTTAACGCTATATCTCATGGGATCTTACCCCCAAAGTCGATGCTAACAATTACCCTGCACAGCATTCTTACCCTCTTTTTTCACTAATAATCCCACTTTGTATTTTACAAGTGAAAAAAAGTTCTCCAAAAAGTAACAGCAAATGAATTTGTTAGTTATAATCTACCAATTGTGAAAACTATAAAGGAAAGAGAACTTATACCATTCCACGTTTTGTGTACCCCGCTTCATGCAGGTATTGGGGTATCTGAGTAGTCTTTCCAGAACCAGTTTCTCCAACAATAACAAGAACCTATGAAAGCCATAAGTCACAATCATATTAGGAAAAATTCTCCATCACTATTCTAATACATTCTGGGAAAAGACCCAAGATTATTCATCACAGAAAACTATAATAGAAATCACCTTAAAAACAATCTACAAAGCACAAAGAAATAAGAAAAGGCATGAAACTCCAGAAACCTGATGATCATGAACAGCTTGGAGCAACTCATCTCGATATGGATAAATAGGTAAAGTTTTTCTTTCATCCTGAAGGAGCAGAAATGTAGAGAGAAGTAAGAACTATAATTCAACGTTATCCATCCACTGAAAAGGCCATGAACGTAAAACTATCTGGCCTATCTTCAATATTACTCTCATACATCATTTCTTGTTCTGCAGAAATCCTCTATTTGTACTTCCCTTGGGGGGAAAGAAATCCTCTCTTTGCAAATAGTGATGCGCTACCCTTTCATTGTTTTTGAGTTCTATAAATTGAAAAATGCACCTACAGATTGAAATTTAAACCTTCTGACAGTTTCTGGTTTTATTTAACTATCGCTCTAGTCAGTATTTCTAAAGCTTCAATTTTCAACAAACTACGTGATCCACATATGGTCATATTCAATGGAGACCAATAGAGTCACCGGTATCCGGTTAGAAAAAAGTGAAAGAATTTCTCTTAATGGTACTAAAAGTAGGGTAGACCTAAATTAACAATGAACGAAATAATAAAAAAAGATATGAAAATATTTTGAGCGTGTAGCGCATGACTGAAATGAATGACGAATACAAACTCATATACCCGACCCCAAATAATTGGGACATAAGCCTTGATTTGGGTTACCCAAGCCACATATGAAAGACCTCCCACAAAACTAAATGACGAGGTAACCATCAATATCAAATTGGCATCAAGAAAATAATAGACATTGTTTTTTAAGTTGAAACTTGCTTATACCATTTTACTGTTTCATTGCTTAAGAATTTTATCCTTTAAAATTTCCACAAATTTTGCTTATCTCATCCAAACCTTCCACAATTTCACAATATTGTTCTTCAACCTGAATATCCTCGTGTATGTTGGGTTTTTTCTATTAAAGGGGGGTGGGTAAATGGGGGGGGAAGGGAGGTGACTTAAACATCTAATGAACCAGGAGAAAAAGCAATGATCACCTGAAGTTTCTCGAATTCTGAAATTGCCAAAGATTTGTCAATTGACTCGGTGGATAGCCCTTGTTCAAACTGTGCGTTGGAGAAAGATTATTTCCAAGAAAAGTTAGAGTTAGGACACAAGTAAACATATCAATCATCCTATGATGAATAAGGTGGCTGCACTCACATTAGCACCATCCATCACAGATGCCTTTATGAACTCAATCTGGTCCTCAAACACAAACCTATTAAAAAAATACATGTAATATTTAAGAAAATGAGGATCATGAGTAAAAAAAGCTTCTAAATAATTTAGTCTATAGAAATGCACTTATAAAAAAAAATTAGTCTAAAGAAACATAAACTAAAACAGAAAATGCAAAAAAAATTAACGAGTTCAACCTTATTTTAGTAATTTATTTCCACAATAAAAAAGCAAGAAGCACAAGCGAAAACATTACCACGTAATAAAGAGGGTGAAAATCTCATAAACTTACTGATAGTCATCAGATTTTTGTTTTCTATCTTTTGACCCATAATTGAGAGTTGCCTTTCCTGCAATATGAAAACTCCAGAATCTGAGTGTTGAAAAGTATTAATTACACATTATTTTCTACAACGCCAATACATTAACCAAGAATTACCAATCTGATGGTCCTCCCATGCTTCTTGTTCTGCAAATGGGTTCATTTTATCTACACCACTTGGATCCCTGGAAGAATCAAGACAGTTCAAATCAATGTCAAGCTTATTTGATTCTAAAGAAAAGGGTAGTCTTGGCAGTAAATGCACATGGGTGTTCATGTATGCCGTACATGAGAGCATCCACTGCATTGTTCCCTGTCAAAATAACTAACCTGTAACGCTGCAAAGCCACAGAAAATCTCTTCTCTTGATTTACACCACCTTCCTCATCATATGCATCCGGCATCTTATACTGCACTCCAAAGACAATGTTGGGAATCGTATATCATAATGAATAAATAAAATTGGCAAACTAGAGCAAAGAAGGAAGAAAATATATGGACAGAGTTGCGGATACAAATATTTAAGGCTGCTTCGTTCACATGCAACCATAATCAAGTCTAGGCAGAAGCAGCAATGCTTGTAACATAGGAAACTTTTTTTAGGATTGCATCATGGTCTAACAAAGCAGTATTTTGGCTGGATTGCATCTAATCTTTCTACTTATTGTGCCGCAAGATATCAAGCAATATGACTGACTTCTTCGAGTACTTTAATTGACTTCACTTATAACCTTCCTTGGGCTGATAAAAGACTGACTATTAGGCTACTATTCCATTCAAGATCTCTTGCAGTAGGACTCCTCAAATTCCAAAATGCTAAAGAGTGAGCAGATGCATGCCATGTGTAAAATCTAGAAATCAAGATACAATCTTTTTGTGGGGACAATGAACACTTGGCAGCTAGGAAGTACGGATACGAATTCGGACACGCTCAAGATATGTCTATTTAAAATGTATTTTACATTTTTACTATTATCTGACAATCTGATAATTGTAATTTCTAATAAATTCTATTACAATGATACAAAAAATTAGTAATTTTTGCTTTCAAGAAAATATTGATCATCTCATTATGCTATATCCAAAAGTCGTGACTAATCAAAGAAATTAGAACAAAGATTTTACAAGTTGGTTTGCTTACAAATTCTTGTTGCCAAGAGACAGAGTGTAATTGACACATTTTATGCTCTTTTGAGGAGTGATAATAGATAATATTTAAGAAATACCCATTTGTCTTCAAAGTCGTATGAACTTTTTTATGTGCTGCATTATACGTGAATTCGAGAGGAAATGTAAAATTAAAATTGAAAATTATATATATTGCTTTGTGTATGTACTTTCATGGCCAGGCATATGCATTATAGACACGTTACACACTTACACGTATCAAAGTATCCAAATATTTTATTATTATTGAATATGGATGGCTGACACGTATCCTCAAATATCCAATGAATATCTTATCCAATACGGATAAGTAGACATTAACGAAGTATCCATGTTTTACAGCTTAATTGCAACAACATTGTTTATGCACCAACATTGTTTAAAATTGCAACAGTTAATGCTTTACAAATCCATCAGGTGACCCACCGCAGGTTGATCAAATTTTGCCTCATCCCTTCCCATAATAAGTTTAGGATGGGTTTAGAGAGTGGCATCTCCCTTACTCCCTCCCACTGCAGGATTTGGAAAAGGATGCCATATTCCAAATCTCCTAGAGTCATATATGCAAACAAAAAGGAGCCAACAAGAAGTATAAGGTTATGGTTTTCACACAAACTAGATTCTGAAAACCAATAACCTATGTTTTTTGAAAATTTATTAATCAAAATAGTTAGTCCATCCAGGATCTGGTTTCCAATTAGAACCCCAAAATCCATCTCCCATCCCTGACTATGCTTCTGCTGATAATGATGATGACAAAGGAAGGTGACTTCAATTTAGTAAAATCAGAGCTTCTACTATGTTTACCCCCCCCCCTTTTGAGGAGAGGAGAATATGTACAACAACGACAAACCAAATTCGAATCCAAAAGAAACATGAAAGTGAAAATTACAATAAGCTAACAATTATACTACCAAAAAAAGCAACTAAAATTGTCGAACTAATTCGCAGAACAATGGATAAAGATTGCAAATGAAAATTAAAAAAAAAAGAGTAACAAAAAAGAATGACTTATTACCTCATTTATGTTATCAGCCTCTTCAGAGCGTTTCTTGACAAGCTCATATATTTGTTTCTTGTATCTGCCAAAATATAGATTATTACTGATCCATGATAGAAAAATTCCTTATAAACATTACAAGAGAAAACAACACGTAAAGCCATTGAACCACATGAAAATGAGTTAAAACTTCCAAAGTATGATTTCTAATGTACGCAATCAGCAAGAGGTGCCCCAGACATTCTTTTTCTTTCTTTTTTTTTTTTGACTTTTTTTCCGGAAAGTCCTTTTTTGGACATGGCAGAGCTCCAGAAAATGAAATTCCCTTTTCCAAGTAGAATTCCAGAAATGAGTTTCAATAGAATAATAGAACAGGTTTTCCACAGTTATGTGGCATGCTTGATGGTTGCCTATAGAAAACAACACATTCCAAATCATTTGTGTCCCAAATTTGCAGAGTTGCAGAACGTTTGAGCAAGAACATGGCAAGAAACAAAACTGGGCTTTTAACATGAGCTATTAATCAAATGACAAAACGAAGGACTAAAGAATCCAGGTGCAACAACAAAAGGAGCCTTACTGTCAATTTCAAGGGGGAGGAATCACGTGGAGAAAGGGGTTAGGTTACTATTGCATACAAGCTAAATTTTGAAAGGCATTTTATTTCAATATAATATTTTTGGCATATTCAAGGAATATTGCTGTTACTTGTCCAACAGCCAGCAAAGATTTTCTTTCTTGTTTTAATTTTTTTTTTTTAGGGTTGAGGGGATCTAAATTTCATTGTTTGACCTGATATAAACAAGTACAAAAAGCAATTGCATTGGAAAAGAAGAGAAAGGAAAATAGCTTTAAATAATAAATTAAACATACTGTGGCATGGCTAGTTCAACAATTAAGAATATAAACCTACCAGAATTGAAAATATGGACATATATACCCTTGTAAGATAGAATTACCTTAGTTCACGATGTTCTGCCTCAGTCAACTTAACACCCTCAAATAAATACTGCTCATCTTCAATATCATCTCTGAGACAAGGTTAAGAAATTAAAGAGGATGACGACAAAAATAGCGGACAACATTTTTACACTATCTGCTACCATCAAGGTAAAAGCAACCACTTTGACCAAAAAAAAAAAGAACGTAAAAGCAACCACAAGTAGAGCTAAACTCAATAGAAAGTAATAGTTTAATGTGATCTTCCATGATACCTTATTTCCTCGAGTTTCTTTTGCTCCCTTTTCTTCAAATACTCTTGCCTTGAAACTTTTCTGAAACGGGGACAAAAAGTAAAAATGCATAAGTTTCAACAGATATTATAAGAACACTGCAACAAAGAGCCAATAAAACAAATAGGAGGTACTGTCATCCAAAAAACTCGCCCGTGGAGTATTGATATCCATAACAACGCATGCCAAGGTGATAGAAAAGAATCTACAATCACAATAGGCAATTAACGATTCCATTACTAGCAGCAATACCTAGTTTAGAACCAAAAGTGTGTATCTCTGTACTTCTACTAACTACAAAAAGGTTACATGCACAATCATCACTCAACCTGTACAGTGACCTGCGAAATGTGACGTTCACTTTCTCGCCTTTAGCGTTAATAGGTGGTCACAGAGTTGGATTGTCTACATAAACATTATGGGGAAAAAGCACCATTTCACATTACCATGAATGCAGACTTCAATAACACTGTAAGGACCTAGGAATGACAGACAACGAGGAGCCACGGGAGGCCTAACATTCAAGACAAAAAATTGGAGGCGAACATGTCCAAGACAGAGCCTTTCAAGTGCTAATGAGCCCTGTGCCAAAGCACATCACAAATTCACAACAAACTAATCAAAACTATGCCAAAGGAGCACGTATTTCTGGTTTAGTATTTCAGCCCAAGGAGCATACCCAAACACCATGCAGGAAGAGATCAAACCCTTGATATTGAATCTGCAGCAAATCCCCTCCACATCCTCCACCTCTCCAACTGGGACAAGTTGGTTTCCCCAAAGTTTAACCGAAAGACCATAAATCACAGAACATCAAATGCTCTCAACCGCTGCTCCCATCAGCATGACCAAAAATTACTTCTGTTGTTGGCATAACACCCACAACACTCCCAATAGATTCACCAAAAAGAACCCATTTTGCAGTTCTGCCAAACATGCCAGTGATGCCACTAAAAGCCTCCATCCCTAACCTAATAAGAAGGGAACTATATGATCCCCTTCGAAGGGCCTTGATATTAGAGGAATCCTTTATACGACCATGATTGCAATAAAACTTGACTGGCGACAGGAGGTGGCTAGTCTTGTGCTGTCTCCAGTCAAGTTTTATTGCATTGTATATAAAGTCATTTATTGCACTACATATATATATATATATACAACAATCATTTTTGGGAGACGGTTTGAGAAGCTGTCCCTCCTAATTTTCCTAACTCAAAAATTGTGCCATCTTATTACAAAACAGAGTTCTCTTAATTCACAAATTTTGATTTATCTCATTACAAAACAAAGTTTACTTTAATCACACTCTACCATGTGACAAAATCACTCCACTAACTATCCACCTCTTATTTGAATTCTTTTTAGAATAACAGTTTATATCACACCAACTTCTAGTAGTTTTCTATACAACTTCCTTCTCAAATGGTGGGTGAGGGAGAGAGCGGAAGATTAAGGGGAAGAAGGTGAGAGGTTATGAGATGTAAATTCAGCACATAGCACAGTGCCGCAGCTAATCAAATTATCTAAGGCAGTTACACCGACTGGTGTTCATATTCAGGTGAGTAATTGCAAATCAAAACTCACCCCAAAGACAGACAGAACAGAAACACAAACTTTGGGAATCCTCGTTAAACCAAGCTAGTCAAACGTGCAGTTTCTTCTCTCTCTAAATGCCGTTGAAGACTCCAACCCCACATTCCCAATTAAACAAACCTAACTCCTGACTCTCCTTTATATTTCAGTCAATTGTCCAATAGTTTACGCCTGCGTTATATCCGATTTCTTCAACAAAACCCAAATCATTTTCTGATATCTCCGCTATATGTCTTCCTTCTCACTCGATAACAATACTTCTATAATCATATATGAAAAACATATTATTGCCAATCTCAAAATTTGATTGCTAGAGTATATCTCTTCTTTGGCAAACACAAGTATGCAATGCTTAAGAAAGAGAATGAGAGACAACTACAAGCGGATTACCAAACACATCTTCCTGACTCCTCTATTGGCGTACCATAGATTGCGAAATGCCAAATAAGATGCTGAACCTCATTAACATGAAAAACATATTATTGCCAATCTCAAAATTTGCTAAGAACCTCTACCCAAATGTTTCTAATGCACGAGCCCAATCATTTATTTGCAATAAGCATCAAAAATCAAGATTCCAGAGTTTGTCACCCCAAAAAAGCATTTCACTAGTCCAGTATAACCTTGTCCACCACCTTTTCACCAAGTTGAAACTTTCTCCATCAGTTTGATGGCACCGTCCACCGAGCTAATTGGCCTAAACTATAAATACCACCAGAGAGTTCTATTTTTGATATAAAAAAAAACCAAAAAATATGCATTAGGCTTCTTTCAAAATATCCGCCTCCAGAAACAGCAAAAAATTCTCCCCATCAAAACTTCTCATCACGGTCCAATCGAATGCGGAAAATTATCATCATCCTCACATCCAACCAAGAAGCATTGTACCCACTCAAATATTTAAAAACTTCCTAACTCCTAACCTCATCTAAGAATGGCCTTCCCTCACTACCTGTCACTATCCTCACGGAATCCAAACCCAATCAATTCAGACAGTATCTTCTAGCAATAGACACAAGCTACAGTCCCTCAGCGAAAAGCAATGTAGCAAAACCAATCACCCATTCTACTTTATTTTACTGGGAAAACAATGATAATAATCACTTAGACAATCAACTAGTACCATAACAAAATAAAACTTAAAAACAAAAACAATTGGCGATTTTCCATCAAGGCTGCAAGACTATCAAAAAAATTACTAAAGAATGAATGAAAAAGGTATTAAACTGGATCAGAATTATCATGACAAACCTTAAACTATGAATGTCATCTTGCTCCAAAGCATTAGATCTCCGTACAGCCTCTTCTGTTGTGTAATAAAAGCATCAAAATGACAAACCATTTCACGTAGAAAGGGAATGCACAAATACATAGATGTACATGCAGACAGTGACTGAACCAAATGGAGGCCTAAGTGGGCAATGCCCCCCCTCAAATTTTTAAAAATACCTTATTCTCCCTTTAATTTTAAAAAACTTCACACTTACCTTTGGTTTTAATTTTTTTTTTTTTTTTTTTTTGTGTGTGGATGCTTAAATTAGTGTACTCAAAAAACCAAATCACCTTTAATAACCAAATGGGAGATATTAATCAAATGGATAGTGCTCCACTCATGGACAAAGGCATTTGCTAGAATAAGTTTTATCACAATAAAGTAAGTTTTTGCAATATTCAGCTACAAACGTGACTCGTAGTATAAACAATACACTGAATCAAGATTAATTATAATTTATTTATAATCCCTACGTCATATTATAAGTGAAAGAACAAGTGGACTTGAAAATTTTACATTCATTTTTACAATGGCAAGTACGATTTAGTTTTTAGATTTTATAACTCAAATTAATTTTTACATAGTATAGCATAGATTTTGATAGTACTATACAAATAAAAATTTGACATTAATGATAACATTCGAATGGCCTTCATTGAATAAAAATTTTGGCTATGCTAATATTTTTATTTGGCCCCCCTTAAAATGAAATTCTGGTTCTGTCCCTGCATGTAGATATAGATAAATGTATAGAAGTGCATACATAAAACACCAAATGTATATTGAAGCATGGAAACTGTATGCACGAAAAAGATCTTTTACCTTCCTCCTTTCGTGTTAGCTTTGACTCAGTCAACTGTTAACCGGAACAAATTTTATCAAAAGAAACAAAAATCCCATTAGAATGCAGATTATAGGAAAGCAATTTTATCAGATTCAAAAAACATTATCACAATCAAAGTGAAAAAACAAGTAATAATATAGGACATAGTTGTACACCAACCATAGCACATCAAAGTAGGTAATCCAATCCCAGTTTTAGGAATTTAAACATGCAAGATAGATGCATATATAGTCAGAGGTGGAAATTCAGTAGGTGTTGGGGCTATATTTTGACAGACCAAAGCAGAATGAATTTCTCCAAATTAAGATGTTCTAATACAATGTTAAGTTTGTAAATTCTGTTTCTGATAGACGATATAAAATAAGTATTTAGATTAATTGGTGCTCTATCTATTCTCTATAGTCTATAGTTGTGCAACAAAATATAGGATCTAATTTGGGCAAACAAGGTTGATTCATTTGAGATGAATGGCATGAAATCAACTCCATAATTGCATATAATACTCAAAGAACCGGGATAGTCTGAACTAATCAATTTGAAAAGCTATTGGACAAATGCAGTATCCATTCATGTACAGTTCCAAAAGTGAGATAAAAATTAAGGATGCCAGTGCATGTATTTATAGGTAAGCTGTAAACAACTCCAAGATGCTAAATTCACATAATCCAAAAGCAAAAATCCAAACACAACCTAGCAATGGGTCCTCCAACGGCTAATGCTACCAACAGAATAAAACCACCAGAATAAACAAGTTATGCGTTCAAAGCACCAATCCAGATCAAATTGTGTACCTTCCTTGTCCCTGCTGCATCTCGTTCTCTTATATGTCGCTCTAACTCCTCCCTCTCTTGTTGGTCACGTAATAGTTCTTCTTCTGACTGCAGCCAAAACACATGGTTGCCAATGTTAAAGTCTGGCCTATTGGGACATTAAGTGGGGGAAGACATTAAATATCCCCACAAAAAAAAAACTAGATCAAGTATATTATCACTTTCACCACAAATCTACTAACAAGAAATTATATATGGCTTCCTCTCATTCACCAGTACCAGCAGCACCAGAAGAATCCAATCAAAGAGGCAGATACAAAAATCTCACAAAAGCAAGATCATTAAACCTTTTTTAACCAATCTACGATGGAAAACAAAAAGCTTTTTTACAAATCAAAATCACTAAAATACACAAGGTACCGCAGAATCATCATCTTCTTCCTGAGAAGTCCGTCTTTTAACTTGTCTTTTTTCTTCCCGCTCTACAACTTCCTGCAGCAACGTGTTCAGTCAAGACAAAAGTATCAAGTCATTAAAAGAGGCACTGATACAGCAGCTTACCATAAGAAACAAACTGAATTCTATCAAAAAGAGTACAGCACTATGCCTCATCATCTTCAAAATCCTGATTTTCAGTTCTCCTCCTAAAACGCTTATTATGGGTATCCGCTCTTGTGGATTGGGAAGTTGCAGAAGCAGCACCATTACCAGCAGCCCCACCAGCATCGTCCTCATCATCGTCAGCATCCAGCATTGCATATGTCCTCTGCCTCCTCGCCAGCATCGCTGCCTCCCTTTCTTGTTGCTGATACATCTGATATGAATGCCAACAAGATAAGAACTAAGGTAATATCTCCTAAACTCCAAAAGACTGAGATTTTAAGTGAGCTACTGAATAATTGGCAAATTATGGAGCCTATACAGATACCAAAACTTCAAATCTCTAATAGAAACTCACATTGGGGCCAGAAGTCCTGCGCTCTACTTTAGCAAAAATTTCAGCTGCAAAAGTGCGAGTTTCACCTGTAGATGACACCCCCACATCTACAAGTCTATCCACTATCTCAGCAGGTGATGAAGCTTTCCTAGCTGAAATAGGATTACAGTTATAAATCACCTCACCCAAAAAGCCAAATCTAAAAATAAATACATATTAAATACATATCAAATAAAAATTAGAGAAAACTTACAAAGACTAATGGCATATTGAACAAGATTGGGATGTGAGTACCCCAAAAGAGACATCAATTTGTCTGAAACCCAAGTCTTTATATCACTCCCCATATTTCACAGCCTAAAGAATACAACAAACTGCACAGATTAAATCAATAATTCTACAATCACACAGCATAAATTATGGCCCGCTCAACAGTAGAGTCAAAAAAAGCATGTGATTTAAGCCCTACATATTAAAAAGCCCCCAAATTTTAGAGTTCAATAATGAGATATAGATCAAATATTAAAACCCATTATAATTTAGCTTAACAAAAAATCTCCTACTCTCATCATATGATTTCAATTTCAGAAAAACAAAAGGAATTAAGACTCACAAAGAGACTGTAATACAGAGAGAGAGAACCTGGGATGCTTGTGGCTTGTGGCTTGTGGCCTGTGGCTTCGACGAGGAGGCCGCGAGCGTTTCCAATACTCGAAGAGCAGGAGGCGCTAGATTTACATAGATATATCAAAATCGAATTTGACTGTGATCCGATATCGATATCGTCGTACATGTACATATATTCTTTTTCTTTTTTTTTATCATACGTGTACATATTTTCGGGCGTGGCTCCTCTACTGTTAGACATGGTGCAGTTAGTTCAAACGGCACCGTTTTATGTTTGTTTGCACTCTAAAATTTATCTCCCAAGAAAACGACGTAGTTTGATAGGAATTATTTCAGAATTTTTTTTTTCTCCAAAACAAATCCTCTGCATCTCTCGCACAAATATCTCTTGGGACCCAATACTCACAATCTCTCCGCACAAATTGAAGACAAGATTTTTTTCTCCTTCTACAAGGAGCCTTCCTCTTCTACACAAGCAAGTTGCATGTATTTGGAGTTCAAACAATTATGTATACAAATAAAATGTACAAACTAATAAAATCACATCTCCCATTGCTATGACAAAAATAGAGGAGACCCATATTTCTGCAACTTGGGTTTGCATTAACCATTGCTTAAACTTTGATCACAATGCCGAACTCAACTCCGGCCAGTGACAAATTATCTGGGTGGTTTCTCACAAATCTTTTTGTTGGTTCGAAACATCCAATAGATATAATTATGATTTTAACTTAAATTTATTCACCTCAATCTAATTTTAACTTAAAAAATTTAATTTGATATTTATGGTTGATTGAGTATATTGATGTTATTTGTTCATAACCAGATGAAAGATTTGTGTTTAAACAGACCCATCTGACGATTTTTCTAGAAATTGTCAAAAAATGAGAGTTTTACTGTCATTAAAGGAATTCATGAACAGTCACAACTCTTTTTTGCAGAAAAATAATTTGACTATGTGTGTACCTAAGTGTGCATATATTTGTACGTATTGTTTATTCATGGGTAGAAAGACAAAAAATGCCCTACCAATTTCGCCCCATAATGGTGAGAGGATAATTGGAAGAGGTTTTGAGGTTGTTTTTTTTTTATATATATCTTTCACCAAAAATCAAGCAACTAATTAAGCAAGCAACACAAAGCACTAGTTTTTCTGCCATTGTTTTTCATCTTCTTGCATTTTTTCTCATAAAACATATGTGAGAGAGAGAGATTCGTGAATCATTCTCGGTGAAATTTTTTAGGACACCAAAACTCATCAATACGATGTCGTTTGAATTAACAGCAACATGTGCTGTTTTACTCTAACAGCAGAGGAGCCACGCCCACATATATTCTATACCAGCAAAAAAAAATGTACATATATTTAAATTTTATAACCAAAATTAATGGTATGTTATGTCATTTATTTCAATAGATAGTATAATTATATATTGATTGTATTTTTTTTAAGAAAAAAATAATTTATACATTAATTATAATTTTTTTAAGAAAAAAAAATTATTTTTTTATCAATAAATAACATAATAGAATATAAATTTTAGTTATGAAATTTAAAATATTTAATATTCTATCTTTGATTTGAGTATTTTTTATCTAAATATAACATTTTAAACTTAAGGAGTTTAAATATTATACGCATACAAACTTTAGGGAGTTTGAGTTATAATTTACTAATGGATATTGATGGTAGGGAGTCAACTGTTACGTGCGTACAATCTCAGGGCTGTATATATTATTTAAAATGTCAGAGTCTAAGCAATTAAGCAACAAATTTCAGAGAGTCTGAATATACTTATCCCTATTTTGAATCATGAGATTCTAAGTTAAGTTACAATTTGTTTGTCCATGATGTTGCCATGAAGAATTTTGGACCCAGCAAGAACTATCATGATACATTTATAGTGTCTTGATTTCATGGAATGATACATCAGCACTAAACTATATTAAGTGAGAAAGAGGGCCCGATTAGATGTGTTTACTTTGTAAAATAGCATACAATTGAAACCGAGTATATAACAAACCATGACCTTTTTTAGATGAACACCACCTTTGCGGTGATAAAATTTTTCTAAATTCTGCTTTCTTAGTTTAATCTGAGATGGGAGAAGTTCGGTCTACAAGTAACTATGTCAGTGGTGGTTGCATTAATACGATGAAAGAAACTCTAACTATTGCAACAAAAGAATAGGGCATCAGGGTTTAATCATTAATAAGGACAAAGTAAAAGAAAATCATCGATTTTTGAGATGGATTACATCAAATTTCTTAAATTGTGGAGATGGCTATTGTATCCATCGAGAAAGAATGTGCATGTCAAAATCATGGCTATTGTAATGCTGTAAAGAATAAATACCTACTTTTTTTTCATTAGACTATGGCTTAAAGTTTGGTATTTTTCAATTGAAATCTGTCTTAGTACTTATGCTTCAATGTATGATTTTTCAAGAATAATTTGGCCACACAACAATTCATTGTAAAATTTAAAAAATAAAGAAAAAATGCAACCTGTAACTCAATAATGCACGTGTATACTAACTAGTTTTTTAAAAAATGTTAAAAAACATATACATGTGAGTCGAATAAGAAGACAAAATTTTGTGGGTATTCTGTATTCCTATTTGTCTGTTTGTGGAATACCAAAAATCCTTCCATTAGTTGGCTGATTTTTGTGAAAGCTGATCAATCAGGTCGAGTAGGGTCGGAACAAGTCTGAGTATGGGAAAATTTGAACACTCTTACCTGAAAAGATTAAGTCAACAAAATAAAATTTAAAATTTAGGTCCCAAAGTGTACTCCATCTCACACATACACATTTCAAAAGATAGAAAAAGGGTTAACACTTTGATAAAAAATATAATAAACATATCTTTCTTCTACAAATAAAAATAAATGAAACACATTTTTTACTTCTCTCAAACTTGTTTTTGTTCTCATTTAAACATCAAAATACCACTAATTAAATTGTTCATTCTCGTAAAGAATCTATAATAAAAAGTAATTAATATCAAAAAAGCTTTCAATAAAGTTGTTATCGGGGAAAATAAAACACAATCAAACAGTAGGTAAACATTGTATATATAAACAAGTTAAGAATTTTTAAAAAATAGTAAAATAATTCAATAATAAGATAACAAGGAATTATGAATATATATTGATAGTCGATCATGTAATATCACAAATTTCATGAACAACATACAAAACAAGTAAAAAGAACATACAAAACAAGTAAAAAGAACATAAAACAAGTCAAAAGAACATAAAAATAGTAATGAAACAATAGATTGTATTCCAAAAAAGTGCGGGTCATTTAAGATATGAGAGAAACAAATAGATGTGCAGATCTATTTGTTAAAAAATGTGTACTTAGTCATGATGATCTATATATATTTACAATTCCTATGAATTATACTATTGAACAGTTACACGCATATAGCATAAGTATGAAATAACACATATGTAATGTTGAATATATCTTAGATACCTAAATTACTAAAAAAAAAAAAAATTGTAACACCACATTGTAGCATTGAACATCTTTACTTAAACAGTACTTTGTAATGGTCCACACATAATTTGACAAATTAAAAAAATGCATAAAATATAGAATAATACATATATTACATTTAATCATTGCATGTCATCCAGTAATCAATTTATCTTACTTAATCGGTTCCACAAATGAAGACTCGATAGTGAGGGACAAGTAGCGACTACAATTGTTGCGAGATGCATAAGAACTCTCTAGGGCCCGACCATTAAAATAGTCGCCTAGAGCCCTAAAAATTATGGCCCCAATTTAATTTTTATTCCTTAGTTGAACTTCATGCTCTAAAATCCTTTTGAATGAACCAAATTAAAAGGCTCAATATATGTCACAAGTCTATTTAAAATTTTATAGAAAGTCCTTAAATATAACAAATCTTCCAAAAAAAATATAGAAGTAATGACTCATAACTTTAAAAGTTGCAATCCCTCTCGAATTATTTTCACTATTTTTTCTTCACTCTCACCGCCTCTCTTCAACTCTTTCTCTCCCTCCCACTCTCATTATCTTGCTCTTGTTCTTTGTTGTTATCTCTAGTTTTCTTGTTGTCTCTTTAATACTTCATTTAATTTATTAATCTGTAAAATTTTGACTTCACAATTGTATCAAATTTATTGTCTGGTCCTGACCGATCCCAAAACCCCTAAAACATTAAAAATAAATTATTCTACAACTTTCTATAAAATATCTAATAATTATTTAAAAAAATTATTATCTTCCGAAAATATTAAACCCAATTTGTGTTCCACCACTCTTGACATAAATATGCACATTAAACAAAGAAATTAACTCCAGAAATTCATTGTCTAAAACCACAAAAACTCAGTTTCTTTATCATGGTTTTTTCGTGTTTCAAAGTAATACTCCACTTGTTACTAAGAAAATCAAACAGTAAAGATACAAACAGAATTCAAGTTATTCAATTTAATTGCACTTTATAGATGAAAATTTTCTTGATTCTTTTGTTTTACTGTAACCAAACCGAGTATGGTATTGAAATCATAAGATTGGAACAATGAATGATTAATTAAAAAAACTTATATTAATTTGCTAGCCTGATAGTGCATTGGGAGGTAAAGTAGGGTTTGAATAGTTTACATCTATATATGTGTGAAAGAGAGAATGTTTTTAAGCCAAAAAAGAAGGTGTATATTAGCAAGGCAAAGTTTGGTGTAGACATGCATCCTGGATGGGCTTTTCAGGCTCAAAAGTTCATCTGCGGAATTTTGGAGTGTTTGCTCAAAACAGCCCATTCTTGGCTTCTCGCTAAGTTAGCTAGATTCTAGTTTTGCACTCGTTTTTGTGAAGTCAATATCAATTGTACCCCTATAAGATTACAAATCTACAAACCCATGCCATTATCAGTGGATTGCCATTGGTTGGAGTATTGATGTGGTCGTTTAAGTCAAACGAATATGACATCAAATATGATATTTATCGAAAATTTAAACGAATGTATAGCATAAACATACATTTTTAATAATTCATAAAA